ACAAACTTCACAAGAACTGACGGGATGATTTGTAATAAAGCAGGGTGATAGAAGAGTGGAGGTAAGAACTGTAATAGGGCCCGGGGTCCCATATGCGTGGAGCAATGTATTTGGTGAATAAGGTCTTCAGCTTGCTGGGAGGGCAGAGCCACTTTATCATTTAGAACAATCCATCCCTCTGGTTTAGCCCTACCACCCTTTTCCATCAGTGTGGCATGCCCTTGAAGGGTGTAGGAGGCTTGGACTTCAGGTAAAAGACATTATGGGGGCCGATAATGTGGGGTCAGCTGTGAGGCCCCTAGCTGTGGCATCGGCCTTGGTGCTGCCCAGTGTGATGAGGGAACTGTCATTCTGATGGCCTTTTCAGTGAATAATGGCCACCTGAGCTGGTAGCTGGAGAGCCTTTAAAAGATGGGAAATGGCCCTTGATTATTGGGGATCCTTTGGTCGAGAGGAACCCTCTTTCTTTCCTTCCAGATCGCAGCATGGCAGTGAGCTATCAGGTAAGAGTATCCAGAGTCCGTATATATGTTGTGAGTTTTTCCTTTTGCTAGATGGACGGCCCGAGTGAGGGGTCACGCTCGGCCTTCTGGGAAGTAGTGCCTTCCAGAAGGCGCTTTGCCTCCCAGACTCTGTCCAGTGAGACCACAGCCGTAGGCCCCCTGCCCTGTCCTCAGGCATCAACAGAGGAACTCCTGTCCACAAACAGGGTCAAATTGGGGTTGGGGTAGACCTGGTCAGAAAGGCTGGGGCGGGGTGAGGTGAGTTCCTCAGTCATTTGGGGACACAAGTGATCGTTGGGGCTGACGTGCACCCATGGCGGAAGAGTTGCAGGATTTAGGGAGGGAGATTGGTGCAGGCCTAAATCAGGATTTTCAATGAAAGTGAGATGGATTTCCTGCATCCGGCCTGGAGGGAGCAGAGGGAGGGAGCGATGCGACAAAAGATCTTGAAGTCTATGTGAAGAAAGTGTTTGGAGGTGCCATCCCAAGGTTAATTTGAGGGCCTCCTTGGTTAATGTGGCTGTAGCCATCAGAGCCCGGAGGCATGGTTGGCACCCTTGAACCGTCATGTCCAGCTGCAATTGGAGAATAGAACGGTCCCAGTGGCTGAACCAGGACTCCAACTGCTATGCCCTGTTTCTCGTCAGTAAACAAAAAGAAAGGTTTTTCAGGGTTGGGTAAGTGCAGGGGCGGAGGCTGCAAAAGGGCTCTCTGAAACTTGTAAAAGGCCATCCTGACCGCCTGAGGAGAGTCTAGGGGTCCGGCAGGCGTGGCCTTCGCAGCGTCATATAGAGGTTTAGCCAGAAGGGAAAAATTAGGGATCCAATGCCTAAAAAATCCCACGAAACCCAAAAAGGCAAGTAGCTGATTCACGGTCTCTGGGACTTGGAGTTCTAGCTTGCATCGCCGACCTTCCGTGAGTCCCCAAGTGGTGGGGCTGACAGAAGTGCAGGAAAGCTGGGCTCTGGAGCTTGAGACCCGATAGCCCTTGGAGGCCAGGAAGTTTAAAGACTTGTGTTTTGTGTGCTCTGAGCTGGCCAAGGAGGGGCTGCCCAACAATACATCATCCACATACTGCAGAAGGGTGGATGGCGGGAGGGGGCATTCCTGCACGTCAGCAGCAAGGGCCTGGCCACAAATGCTGGCATGCAGGTTCTGGGGGAATGACGAAAAAGGAATCCTGTACATCAAGGACAGAGAAATGGGTTATGTCGGGGAGAATGTGGGACAGTAAGGTATAAGGATTAGGGACCACCAGATGGATGGGAACAATGGCATTATTAATGAGGCGGAGGTCCTAGACCAGGCAATAGGTGCTATTGGGTTTTTCCCCTGGCAAAATTGGAGTGCTGCAAGGGGAATGGATGGCAGTGAGGAGATTGCTGGCGCGAAGGTGCTGTTTGATGGGCTTTTAAACTTCTGCGGTGTGTGAGTGATGTGGGAAGCTGGGATTGAGGTGGAAGAATGGTGGCGTCTTTCAGGTGTATAAGAACAGGACCATAGTGGAGTGCGATCACAGGTTCAGAGGTGCCCGACACCACCGGATTGGCAGAGTTAGCCAGCGAGGCTCCAGAAGGTGTTAGCAGGGGCTTGGCGGGAGAGTGCCAATAAAAGTGGAATAGAGGGGGAAGAAGAGGAGCATATGGTCCCACCAGAGGCTGACCCCAAGTTGGGAGAGCAAGTCCCTGTCCAACAGCAGTGATGGACATGAAGGCATGACCAAGAAGGAACGAGAGGGAGGAAGCCCTTCTATGTCTAGGAACAAGGGGACGAGGAACTAAAGGCTTTGAGGGTTTACCGTCTGTTCCCGTAACCGAGACCTGGGAAGGGGAGGCTAGGCCCCAGGAGGAGGGGAGGAGTGAGAAGGCAGCTTTCATGTCCACCAAATGGAGATCGGTTTACCCACGACCTTGATCGTTACCCTGGGCTTGGTGAGGGTCACCCGGGTTGCCAAGTCTGGGCCTCCTGAGTCATCGTCAGCTGCCAGGCCCAGCAGTGCCAACGGCGGGTCGGGGTCTGGAGGGACTGACCCTCTGTAGCCAGGCGCTGAGGGGCAGTCACTTCTCCAGTGGCCCCATGGACCACACACTGGGCAAGGTTCTGGTCAGCTGGGGTTGCATGCAGGGCTTGGCCCAGTGGCCCTCCTGGCCGCATTTGAAGCAGGATCCCAGCGGCAGGCGATTAAAGTTGTTGCTTCCTGGAGTCTTCTGACCCCTCAATTCTGCCAGCCTCAGAGCGGCGACCAAGGCTTGGGCTTACCAATTAGCCTGCTGCCGAGCCCGGGATTGGCACGCAGCTTCTGCCTGCTCCTCTCGGGTGTTAAAAACTTTAGATGCCATGTTCACCGGGTCACGGATAGGGGTCTGAGGGCCCTCCTCAACCTTTTTCGTTTCTTTTTAATGTCAGGAGCTAACTGCCATGAAGTGGGTAGCTAACACAGTTGTTCCTGCCAGGGAGGTAGGATCCAGCCTAGTGTACTGGGTTAAGGTTTCAGTTAAGTGGGTAAGAATAGCCGCCGGGTTCTTACCCGGGTGTTGTGTGATTTCCCACAGTTTATTAAAATGTACTACTTTATGAGAAATAGCCTGCCAGCCAGCAAGCATTGTATTGTGCAGTTTGGCTCTGGGGAGGGGACGGGCATTGGAGGTGCAGTCGCCTTGGTCTGGGAGTGCCTCTGCGGGAATTGAGCCAAAAGTACTCCTGCAGGTTGGCAAGAGATGCAAAGAAAGGGACGGGAGCGGAGAAAAAAGACAACCTGGACATACGGGCCCTCTGACCACTTGTGAGTTCGCTGGCAGAAATTGTAAAAGTGCCATTTTCTGTCCAGTGGGAGCCATTGTCCAATGTTATTGTGGCCACACTTGGTTACAGGAAAAGACCAGACATTTAGGGCAAATGTCTGGAGCCAGGCCCAGCTTGGTGAGGTTGGTCAGCAAGCACCCCAAAAGACTGTCGTCAGAGGGCTTCCCATGTTGTCTCAAACTGCAGGGGGTACGGGTAGAGGAGAAGGGCATCCTCTGGTCCCCATTCACACCCATCAGTCAGGAAGTGGTCCGGTATCCCTGACGGCATCCCAGGCAGAGTTACAGACCCAGGGGAGAGTCCTAGACTCTGCGGAACAGGAAGGGTCCCTGCCTCAGGCCCGCACCTTTACCAGGAAGATAGGGACCCTGAATCAGAGAGAGAGAGAGAGAGACAATGGAAGCCGAGGAGGAAGCCTGGCCTGTGGCCCATAAAACAGAGGCTTGGTCAGAGGCCTTTGTTCAGAGTGAGAAAAGGAGGAAGTAGATTTAGAGTAGCTCTGGGAGCAGGCACCGCAGAGCCGCAAGCACAAAACACACGAACAGGTGCCAAAAGCTCAGACACACTCTTTGCACTCTAGTTTAGTCAGAAGGTTCAGTGATTGCCAGGCCCAGTGCCAGGAGTCCTGCTACTGGCAGAAATCCCAGAAATACAACACAGAGACAAAGGGCTGGGGGGGAGATAGACACGAGAAAAGATGGACACCAGAAACTGTCCTTATCGTTGCACCCCTTCCGGGGAAAGGCAGTTATTTCCAGCTCCTCTTAGTACTAGAGTGGCAGAATAAACCCCTGCCGTGGCACCCCGAAAAACGGGGACTCTATGTTCCCATATGAGTTTGCTGGTCCTCGGTGTCCAGAATGACAAGATGGAACAAACACACAGAGATACTGACCAGCAGTCGCTCCTTCAGACAGGCTTCAGAGGTTCGTGATGTGGAGGACGGGGTTATGCTCCCACCAGAGGGAGGTCGGGTAGCACGGAGCCCCCTTTCCTTCAGCTCCCAGGTCTTCGGCACCAAATGTAAGGTAAACTGAGGCACAGAGTGAGACCAGAGTCAGATTGAAAGAAAGTAAATTCAAGGACAGCTTTGTGGCAGCAAAAGAGCTCCCGGGGAGGCTTCACGACCTAGCAAGGCAGGTCGGAGCAGTTGAGCCCAGTGGTCAGGGGGTAGGGTTTTTAAAGAAGGTGCCTAGGGGTGGGGAAACTGTCCACGGTGGCGGGTGTTGCCAGCTGTCCTGAGAACAATGTGTCAGCTTCTTGCGGTGTTCTCTTTCCTGGAACTCGAGGGTGCCCTCCCTGTTCCGTCTTGACTCTGTTGGCCTGGCCAGTCTTCTGCTTAGAACATGATGATGGCTGCATATGTACAAATATGCTTGATACAACTGATGTATAGAATGTTATGAGAGCCCCCAATAAAATGATCTTTAACAAAAAAGAAAAAAATCCTCCGGAGCAGGTGTGTTCCGTCCTCTGGGATGACAGATATGGAATGTCAGCCATGGGTGTGGTGCGGTGTGTGGCTTGGTTTAAGGTTTGTCCAGGTGGGTTCTGACCTTCTCCACAAGCGGTTGGTTATGTGAAGCTCAGTCTTCAGTGACGTGAGCAAGGAAACCTAGGAATTTACCTGGGTCAATGCAGATACCAGACACAGCATTCTCACACTGCTGAAAGGAACCCTCTTGTGGCTTTCAGATTTCTGACTACATGATGCTGCCCGACACAGCCACCCTGTCAGAGCGACTGCGAGTGTGCCTGCAAGAGGGCGACGAGAACCCACGGGACTTCACCACCCTGTTTGACCTGTCCATTTTCCAGCTGGACACCACCTCCCTCCCCAAGGTCATCAAGTCAGTACCAGCCGCACCTGCCCGCCGCTCTGGTTGTCTGCTGTGAAAACATGAGCCTGGGGACAGGAGTGCGGGTCACAGCAGATGTGACCTGCAAAACACCTACTCTGAGCTCCGATGTGTTTGACAGAGGCAGCTGGTGCTGCGGGGAGCGGGGTGGGGGACGTCCCTGCAGAGGAAACTGCCAGCATTTACCGCCCAGCTGTGGACCAGGCTCTGGGCCGGGTAGTTGGGGGACCAGCTCATTCCTGTTGGCCTGAGACTCAGTGGTTTTAGAGTAGATTCATTTCCCATGAAGCTCTGCAGTAAAGGAAGAGGGCTGGTCCCCCAGAGCCTCCACATTGCTCCCTCACATCATTCTTTCACTAGTCCTCTGGGATAAGAGCCTCACAACCAGATGGGGAACCTGGGGCCTAAAGATGGGACTTTCAGGGCGGTGCTCTGCTTTGTTTTGTTGCCTGCTGTATTGTTGACACAGGCGGGAGTTCTGGTGCCTAGTGGGTTATTCATGAAGCTGCTAACCCACGAGTCACCCCATGGGAGAAAGCTGGGGGTGTCTGCTTCCAGGAAGATTTACAGGAGCAGGTCTACTCTGCCAGGTAGAGTTGCTCTGAGTTGGAATCATTTCACTGGCAGTGGATTAGGTTGTTGTTGTCGTTGTTTTTAAGGTCAGTTTCTGAATGATGGAAGAAAGTAAAAGGATAGCATGTGAAATGCCCACAGACCTAGAAGTAGAAAGCAAAAGAGGAAGTACAAGCCCAGCATGGGTCACACTGATAGAACTGAAGGGAAAATTCAGGCCAGAGTGGTAATGGGAAAAACACTGAATGATGCAGGGAGCATCAGAAGAAGATGGAAGGAGTACACCGAGTCAGTGTACCCCAAAGAACTGATCGGCATCCAGCCATTTCAAGAAGTAGCATATGATCAAGAACCAGTGATAGGAAAGGAAGGAATTCCGCCTGGCACAAAGGCATTAGTAAAAACCAAAGCTCCAGGAATTGATGGAATACCGATTGAAATATTTTTAAGAGGCTGATGGGAAGCACTCTATGGCATCTGTGCCTAGAGGTTTGGGAGGCGGCTACTTGGCCAACTGACTAGGAAATACCCGTGTTTGCCTCATTCCACAGAAAGCTGGCCCAACAGAATGCAGGGCTTCTTGGGCAACAGCATTGATACCGCATGTAAGCACAACGTTCCCGAAGACCAGTCAGCAACATTTGAAGCAGTGCATCAACAAGGGGCTGTCAGAAATTCAAACTGGATTCAGAAGAGGTCATGGGACAAGTGATGTCATTGCTGACGTCAGCAAGGCCTTGGCTGAACGTGGACAACACTAGAAAGATGTTACATGCTTGTGTTTTATTGACTCTGTAAAGGCATCTTACAGAGGGTCATAACACTGTGGATAACACTGAGATGAATGGGAATTCAGCATTTCATTGGGTACATGTGAAACCATGAACATGCCATCGGGACATGCATCAAGAGGCAGTTTTATGAACAGAATACCAGATGGTTTAAAATCAAGAAGGGTGTGTGTCAGGGTTGTATCCTTTCACCAGACTTCTCAGACTGCGTGTTGAACAAATAGTCCAAGAAGCTGGACTCTGAAGAATGTGGCATCGGGATTAGAGGAAGGACCTATTAACAACTTCCCATGTGCAGATGACATACCCTTGGCTTGCTGAAAGTGAGGAGGATTTGAACAAGAGCAGGACGGGACTTCTGGGAAGGTGTTGGGCCCTGCGTCTCCTCTTCCCTCTCTCAGTTCCCCAAACAAGACCTTGACTCTTCCGAGGTGTCTTCAAACTCTGCCAGCCAAGTTAACAAGAAATGTACATTATCTGCAGCTCCCCACCCTCACCCTCCCCACCAACCCCATAACCCTGCCGACCTGCTAAGAATATGGCTGCTGGCTGGAGCATCAGAGCAAAGCTCTGTCTTCTCTCGGTTGTGCATCCGAGCTAAGGCCCTTTCCGAGGACATCCTCAGCTGATGCCTCAAACTGCCCTCCCTCCCTCACATCCCTCTTTAACCCAAACATCAAAATACAGCCAATGTGACCCCCCAAAAAAATTATGTACAAACTAATTTCTCTGTGCTGATCCTCAAAACAACCAATCAAATACCAGTTACCAATACACTTTCTACGAGGAAGTGACTCATCTTGAAGTTTAAAGAAAAAGCAGTGCATGCTAGTGAAGATCAATGATTGCAGCCTTCAGTGTGGATTACAACTCAATGTCAAGAAGGACAACTGGCCCGATAGGTAACATGATCAACGGAAGAAAAGATTGAAGTTGTCAAGGATTTTGTCTTGCTTGGATCCACAATCATTTCTCATGGAAGCAGCAGTCAGGAGATCAAAAGGCAAGTTGCATTAGGAAAATTTGCAGCACAAGACCTCTTTAGAGTAGTGAAAAGCAAGGGTGTTCTCTTGAGGACGAAGGAGCACCCGACCCAGGCATGGTATCCTCCATCGCATCATATGGACGTGAAAGTTAAACAGTGAATAAGGGAGACCGCAGACAAATGGACGCGTCTTGAAAGAACCACGGGGCTAAGCTGAGCGTCGGCCTCCGTGCACACATTCCTTGGCTGTGGCCATTGGGCTGCCCAGCGCTGCTTACCCCTTATGAAGGCGTGCCTCACTCTCCCTCACCCTGGCCTGCTCTGTCCTGTCTCCTGTTTGTTCTTTGAAAACCAGCAGCAAAACCTTCAAACCGATGAGACTCTCATCGGCTCTCAACAGGGCTCCTGAGGCTCTGACTCTGCAGAAGCAGACCACCCTATCTTTGTCCCTCAGCGGCTAGTGGGATGGACACACGGCGGGTGAGGTTCGTAGTCTCATGTGCCACCAGGGCTCCCCCTCCTTAGTTTTCAGCAATGCCTGGCATCTTATTTCTTGTGTATTTCTCACTGAAAGGAGCCCGCTTGACATAATGGTTAGACGTTGGCTGCTAACCATCAGATCGGCAGGTCAAAACCACCAGCAGGAAAATGATGAGGCTCTCTACTCCTGTGAAGAGTTATAGCCTCGGAAACCTGCAGGGGCTGTTCCACCCTGTCCTGTGAAGGTCTCTCTGAGTTGGCGTCGACTGGGGGGCTGTGAGTTGGAGTTTTTCCACTGTTGCTGCATTTCTTTGTTAAGTGAGCACATGGGAGTGTTTGACATACAAATCCGACACCAAACCTGTTGCCACGGGGTCGATTCAACTCCGAGTGACCCTGCATACTGTTTCTGCTGCTACAAACCTTTACTGAAGCAGACAGCCTCTTCCTCCTATGGAGAGGCTGGTGGGTTTGAACAACAGACCTGTAGATTCCCAGCCAAATGCTTTAACTACTGCTCCATGCATATGGTACACAACTGCTTGGTGACCAGAACTTGACTTCAGATTGACTACTGTTCCTTGATCGTGAAAACAAACAGTGAGTTACAAGATTCCGTGTCCCGTGCAGTACCAGCCTCCTTTGGAAACGCTGGATATGGAGCAGAATTCTTCCTTTGAGATCCCAGTAAAGTCATACTGTGTGGTGGTGTCACTGGTTACACATGGACCCCCCAAGGTCAGCAGTTCAAACCCACCAGCTGCTCCCCAGGAGAATGAGAAAGCCGCCTGCTCCCATCAAGAGTCCAGCCTTGGAAACCCTGCGTGGGTCTCTGTGCGTCGACGTGGACTTGATGGCAGTGGGGCTTTAGGGTGTGACCCAGTGGAGACGCTTCCTCACAGGAGCACTGCCTGGTCTGTAGACTGTCCTGTCCTGGTGCAGAACCATGCTGCTTGATGGAGAGCCACGTGGGACCGTTGCTTAGCTGTGCTGAGTCACTGGCTTCCCCGTGACCCCTCTTTGTTTGTGATTAACTCAGGGCTCACGAACAGCTAAACGTGAAGCATGAACCTCTGCAGCTCATCCAACCTCAGTTTGAGACACCGCTGCCAGCCCTGCAGCCCGCTGTGAGTAGACCCTCCCTCACTGCAGACACTGCCTGCCCTTCCCTGACCAATGGCACTCTGGACTGTAGATGTCCAGTGAGCGCAGGCCAGGCTTAGAGTCAGGTTCCTTTACCTGTCCAAAGACATGGCTTTAAGCTTTCATCTTGGTTTAAGCTGTGACTGACAGCTTGTTTCATTGCTCACATTGGCTAGATTCTAGACTGATTATTAAAACATGTGGAGCAAGCCCTGGAGGCAAGCAGGCCTGGGGACACCCCCTTTCTCCACCCAACAGCTGGGCCCTAGGCAGCCCTGGGTGCCTTGAGCATGAACCCTTCTTGGCTTTCCTTTGACTCTCAGACTTCACTCTGCACCAGAATTGGGTTTCCAGGTTGTAAACATAATTACAGCTCTGTGCTTTTCTACTTTTCCAGGTTACTTAGTTTGTCAGACGCCATTTTGATGTACTTTATATGTCACTACAACTTAATTTTTTTTAAAGTAAGTTTGATGATGCATGATTTTCATTCTCTGTGCTGAGTAGATTGGAAACTTCCCAGAAGAGGGCTGTACTGACCCATAACACATTGATGGGTTGGGTGACACAGTGGGGCTCCTGCTGCTCCCCTTCAACCGAGGGCACAAACCCCCTGCAACTCCCAGGGCAGCTGGTCAGCGCTGGTGAGAACAGAGACTGGGGTGGGGGTGGGGGCTATCCCTACCCCGTGCTTCTGAGGAGGGGCTGCCGGCCCTGACGCGGGGAAAACGCTGGTGAGTCAGGCACGGGAGAGCAGCAGCACAGCCTGAGCTTTCCAGTGTTTTCACACTCGGTATCAGGCTAACTCCGCCTCCTTCAAGGAGTTATGGTCCCCATTTCACTGGCCAGGCGACTGTGGGTGCCTGTCGTCACCGTCTACTGGAGCACGTTGACTCTTGTTCAGAAGAACGGACGTCTGTTTTTCAGGAATGTTATGAGCCAGGGGCTTCATCTTGATCGTCTGAAATTGACGCTGGTAGGCGTATGGATACTGAGGGAATTGGCAGCTACCATGATCAGGCCTTTTGTTTGCTTCCAAGGGCTGGTAGTAAAACATTCACCAGCACAGCAGCAGACCACACTGAATTCTGCCTCCAGTGTACATCTGCCTGCCCAGATCATTTCTCTCCTTACAGAACCCACGAGTAAGGAAGCAGCAAGGCCCATCCCTACCTATTCAGCACAAGCCTAAACCCTGGGCTTTGCACCTTTCAGCCAGTTGGCTTTGGTCGGTCAGGCCATCCGTTGAATGAGGTGGTTAGAGCTGGTTCTACTGGGGCGCTCACAGCGGGCTGTAGTCATGCCGGGTGTGGCTCTCAGCATGGGGCCGGAGGGGCTGATGGGAGTCCCGGTGGCGTGTCCCAGGGCCCGGCTGAGGCCTGCCTCATGGCCCTGTGCCTCGACACTGTCGCTTATGGCCTCTCAAGTGAGCTCTTCGTCCCTTGTAGGTTTTCCCTCCGAGTTTTCGGGAATTGCCCCCGCCCCCTCTGGAGTTGTTTGACTTGGATGAGACGTTCTCCTCTGAGAAGGCGCGGCTTGCACAGATCACCAATAAGTGTAAGTTTAGTCACTTTGCTTATTTGGCTTTGAGGGGGTTTACTTGTTTGTCCACTGTAAACAGGAGGACAATTTTATTTACTTCACGTAAGTGATACTGTTTGTTTTTCCTGAGGGGCACAGTTAATCCACTGGGTTAGAACATGGGGCTGGGCAGAAGTCAAGGATCTCAGCTCTGCACTCTGGAAATTCATGCCTCTCATCTGGTGGGTGGCCATCGAATGAGTCCTGAGCCCTGGCTGGTCATCTAGAAAGCCAGTCACTGGTCATGGAAGCAGTTCCATTTTAAAAATGTGACCAGAGCAGAAGAATGGCAGCCTGTCGTTGGAAGGAATCTCAGAAGGGGAGGCGGGGTCCCCTTGGCCATGACGTATAGATGAGGACATGAGGCCTCGGGCCACACAGTCGTGGGGAGGGAGGGGGGTACGTGGCCCAGTGTTCCTCCAGCACTGCCTGCACACACACACACACACACACACCAGAGGCATGTCTGACCCCACGCCCACAGTGTCTCTGCCCTGGGAATCTAACTTCAGGAGATGGATGAGGGTACAAAAACCATGACTACATTACTTTTTTTTTTTTCAAAAAAACCTTGGAATAGCATGTGGATGCCCTAAGTTGTGTCACAGTCAGTGGGGTGATAGGCAGTCATTGTAAAGAAAGCATCGTGGATACTTCATGAAGTCACCTGCCCGTGTGCCCAGGGGGATCTCCACTGTGCGCACCCAGAGTCCCAGGTCAAAAGCACTCTCTCGTGTGGCTGCTGTGTGGGAGTACCGTGCTGGCCAGCCAGTATTAGCAAGACCTCACTCACTCACTCACTCACTCACTCCCTCCCTCCCTCCCTCCCTCAGACTGCCATGGAGTTGATCGCAGCTCCTCCCGACCCTGTAGCACAGGGTGGTACTGCCCCTCCAGGCTGTAGAGACCGGAACCCTAGAAAACCCATCTTTCTCCTGAGTGGCTACCAGTTTCCAACTGCTGATCTTGTGGTTCGCAGCGAAACACATAACCCACTATGCCACCAGCACGCCTATAGATGTTACAGTGTTCAAAAACATTGAAACCACCTAACAGTTTATCATTAGGAAGAATTGACTAAAAAAAGAACCAAAAACAAACCACTACTTAGGAACTCCATGCAGTCTGAGTATAAAGATGTCAGAAAGAAAGAACGATGTTGGTCATAAGCGCTATGGAATTGTGTCCACGAGACACTGTTGGACGGTGATGGCATCTTGCATAAGGAGCATCGTTTGATCCCATTTTGACAACAACTCATTTGTATACATGTATGCAGGTGTAGCACTCATTACCATGGGATGGAACTAGATTACAGCACTTACATGGTTTGTATTTCTAATGTGTCTTTCTGAAAAAGTGCACATCATGGGGAGACACCAGAAATCCCAGTAGAGTGAGCGGGACAGTAATGGCTGTCCACCCTGGACACAGGTGCTGGGGCGGCTTCACAGAGACACGTGGAAACATTGCGGTGACTAGTATGAGGCTGTAGAAAAAACAAGCTGAACTCTGAGCTCTTCGTGGTCCTCTCAGCAGGCAGGGCCCCTGCTCTTTGTGATGCAGGCAGATTCTGGCCCCGGAGCAGAACGCTGAGCCCTTAGAAGTGTTTCACAAAAGCAGCATGTCAGAAGCCTCTGGAACATATCACCCTTTAAGTCCCGTGGTCACATGACCCCTAAAGGGTGATGTCAGGACTCATCAGGGGAAACCTAAAACACATTAAGTGTCTACGTTGGGAAAGGGGAAGGCCAGGGTTCATCTGATGACCCCCACTGTGCTTAGGTACTGAGGAAGACCTGGAGTTCTATGTCCGGAAGTGTGGTGACATTCTGGGAGTGACCAGCAAACTCCCGAAGGACCAGCAAGATGCCAAACACATCCTGGAGCACATCTTCTTCCAGGTGGTGGAGTTCAAGAAACTGAACCAGGTACAGAGTCAAGGGCGAAAGCCCCCTGCAGTGGTGGCATCACCTATACAGTGTACTCCCCGGTCTTGAGGCCATTCGTTCTGCACCTGCCCAGGAGCCACCTCCCATCTGAAGCAGAGACCAGATCTCTGCCCCCTGGGGAACTTACACGCTCGCTGGATTAGACAGGCAGTCAGATAGGCATCATACGATGGGCTTCAAAAAGCCCATGGAGAAAGTCCCTTCTCTTTTCATCCCATTTCTCCTCGAACCTTTTAAAGCCCACGCATGCTCGCCTGTGTATTTCCCTAGTACAAAATAACGGCTATTTGCTCAGGTGTACAGAATGTGCAGTGTTTCATTATTTTGTTTTTCCTACTAAGATTTTTATAAAGAATATATCACTTTGGGAGGAAAAAGGAGTTCTTTTTATGGTGTGTTTGTTTTGTGTAAGCATAGGGTTTTTGAAGCTGATTGGAAAGACGAGTTAGCATCTGATCCTCTCCTGAAAGGGGCTGGCTTTGCTAGGTCATCGCTGGCTGGTGTTTACTCTCACCTCTTAGGTGCCAGGCATGGGCCAGGACTGCAGCAGTGGACAAGTGCAGCCCTTGCTCTCTAAGCCCTGCCCAGTGGGTGGGTGGGGGGAGACAGGATGTGGGCAGTCACAGCTCTGGGAGAAACCTCCCGAAGGTGCTGTGCAGGGACTATGGCCACTCAGAGTCTGGCCAGGGATTGGGTAGCTACCCAACAGTTGTAACTGCTAGCGGGACAGGGCAGACCCTAGGACCTTTAGATGGTGTTTGCTGCTTGGCATGGTGGGGGTGGTCACACGCCCTGGAGATTCAGGGATCACCTACGTGCACTAGTTCATGGGTCTCAAGATCCCTCATCACAGTCCAAACACAAGCTCACGCTCCAGGGTTTGCATTCAAGTCTGAAATCTCCCGTCGTCTTCCCTTCTCCAGGAACATGACATTGACACCAGCGAAACGGCACTCCAGAGCAGTTTCTGAGGACCAAGCCTCCAAGGACTGCCTGCCTCCTGATTGTCTTTGTAAATGATGGCCCCCACCCCCAGTTTACCTAATCAAAGTTGTCCATATACTCTTTTTTTGTAGATGCCTGGCAAGGCCTGTCCATTTTCCAAACTGCTCAGATGGGCAGACGGTTTCTGTTGCAATCCTTATGTGAGATAAGTTCCTTTCCTTTTTAAAAATTAAACCAATGATTGACTCTGTACTTTTATCATTTGTACATTTTATCAAAGAAAGTATTTTCTTTCCACTCCAGTTCTGGAGTTGAGTTTCTTCTGACATCCATGTGAGTGGTTTACTCGAGCGCGGTCAGCATGCAGAGCTCTTGGAGACGCCCTCCGGGGTCCCGTGGAGCGTACCGGAATCAGCTCTGGGGCCCTGAGAGCCAGATTGAAGAGAGCCGAGCCGCTGATGGTGCGTGAGGGATGTGGCGCAGGGGGAACAGCTAAACTTGTAGCTCCGGAATCAGCGGGATGGAGGAGAAGGCCACTTGGAGGCAGAGCGAGACACAGCTCCCCCAGGAAGTAATGAGGATAAGGACCCAGGTGCTGTTGTAGGACAGGTGGCATTTCCAAACACCTGGCCTGGTGGTTGAGGTCAGCTTGGCAGGGCTCAGAGCCCGCCTCTGTCTGAGAGAGTGCTGGAGCTGTGGGAAGGCAGGGGTGGGGGAGGGCAGACTGTTTCAGAGGGCTGAGGGTCCAGCTTGCATATGTGTTTGAGAGGATGACAATTCATAGTAGTTGAAATAACTCGGAATATTTGAGGATTAAGAAAGATGTCAGTCCTGTAGACCTGAGTTTTTCACATGGAGTTCTCTGAAGCTGAGAGAATAATTTGTCAAGGAATAACACAAAATGTTTAAACTTTGGGGGTAAAGTCAAGTCATATACTGAATTTCAAATCATGTAAAAGCTTTGCCCATAGCCTTCCTTTCTCTTACCCACTCAAGCCCTGTTCAGAGTAGCCAGTCAGGATGGAGTGCTGGAGAAGAGAGAGTCCTATTTGTTCAGGAGCAGAGTCTGGAGTCAGCTGAGAGACAGCTACATAGCTGAATTTTGGGGGAAGTACTCTGGTAGATTGTATTTTCCAAAAATGAGTTCAGTAATTATCTCTCAACCCACATGCTCTTCCCGTAGAGTGTGAATTTGATTATCTGCCTAATGGGAGGTGGAGTCTGTTCCCACGCCCTGAATCAGTTTGCTGCTGTGTGGCTTCTGAGGCCAGGCCCTAGGTTCCCACACTTGTCTGATCCTTGCAGTCACCTGGGGTCCGCTGAAAATCCAGGCCTGAGCTCCATTTGGAACCTAATGACTCAGAATCTCTAGGGGGAGGGGCCCAGGGATCTGTAGTTGCACCAGATCCCCAGGTGATTCCAATGACCAACCTAGCATGGGAACTTTGGGGCTTGACAATTTGAAACTTCATTTCCATGGTCCAGTTCTCTTGAGACCTCACCCTTATGGGCAAAAAAAAAAAAAAAAAAGGCTATGATCCATGTAAGATGTCCAAGTCCACGTGGAGAGGCCATTTGTAGGTGTTCCACCAACAGCCATAAAGTCCTCCCAGCCGTCTCTGCCGAGGCCTCAGACAGAAGGAGCAGAGACAAGCCTTCCCTGTGGCAAACCTTTCTGAGTGCTGATGCACACGATGCACGTGTGTAATCCAGGCAGCCACCCCCTTTCCTCGCCTCCTCACAGACATCCAACTTAGGACAACTTGAATTACCCCGCATTTTGAAACAACTAAGACAGTGGTTCTCAACCTTCCTAATGCCGAGTCCCTTTAATACAGTTCCTCATGTTGTGGTGACCGCCCCCCGCCCCGATCATAGAATTATGAATCGGGTAACCCCTGTGAAAGGGTCCTTCGACACCCAAAGGGGTCGCGACCCACAGGTTGGGAACCACTGAACTGAGGAGCCATGGTGGGTTGTGTGGGGCTGCTAACCAGCACAGCTGGTGGTTTTCAGAATCCAGTTTGTTCGGTTTTAAAACTATGGAACCAGGACAACTCCTACTTGTCCTTTCAGTGTTACCTAAATAGGCCCTCACCTGGAAACAATGAGCAGTTCGGGTGGTGTAGTGGGTACAAGTTGGGCGAGGCTAACCACAAGCTCCACAGTTTGGAACCAAGACAGCGTTCTATTCCCATCTGATTCTCAGAATAGCGAGGCTACTCACACCCCTGACCTGTGATCAAAGACTTCACCAGAGACTTAATCCCCAGGTTCTTCCCTTCCCTTTCTGTTTAAACAGAAACAACTTTAAAATGGGTCAAAGGGTGTTCAAATGCTACTCCATGTTAACCTAACTAAACTTCCCATAATTGACTTCACAACGCTCTGTTAACAAAGCTGTTCGCATCCCTCAACTATGATCCAAGGGAATTCACTGGAGGCTTAATCCATGCGTGGACCCTACAACTGGATTTGGGGCTTCCACCGTCATTCATCGCTATCTGCAAACCAGGTGTTCACTATTTAAGCTCCGATACCATTCTCTCCTTTGAATTTGGACTTTATATTTACAATCGTTGGATCACACCGGCTGGTGTGCTTCTTCATGTGGACTTGGCGGATGCCTCACTTAGATAGCTGCTTGCTTGAAGACAAGCCTGTCAGAAGGCATTGGAAAGTGGGTTCTTGCAGATGCAGTTAGGCTACCGTTTATCGCCTTATCCCTAAGGAGCCTTGCAATCTTCAAGGTCGGCACTTTGAAATCACTAGCCACTTTTGGGAGAAAAATGGGACTTTCTACTCCCCTGGAGAGTTTCAGCCTCAGAAACTCACAAGGGCAGTTCCACCCTGTTCTATAGGCTCCCTGTGAGTTGGCATCGACTCAGTGGCAGTGAGTTTGGTTTGTAGTTTATGATCCCTTTTAAATTTGTTCAGATTTTAATACTTTGTGCTTTCTGTTGAGTTTTCATGTTTTCACTTTGTTATTGTTGTTAGGTTTTGTTTTTTAAGTGTTTTTCTGTATATGCAATGCAGGCTAGGTAAATCTAGAGACAATAACTGGATTAATAGTTCTTTAAGGGTATGGCAGGAGAGGTTGGAGGGAAATGGGGAGTTAATAATGATGAGTGCAAGAATGAAGAAAATGGTCTAAAATGGATTGTGGTGACAATCGACTCGTCTTGTTGTGACTGAACTGTGGAGTTGTATATGTGCATTATATGCTAATAAAACTGTTTTAAAAATTTAGTCTCAGAAACCCACAGGGGCCCTTCTACCTGTCCTGTAGGGTCATTAGGAGTCAGAATGGGCTCCATGGCAGTTAGTTTTTGCTTTTGAAATGAAACAATCGAACCAAGCCCTATTAGCAACAAATTCTTCATCCCAATCACCTTCCCTTGCTGCCTGTGCAGCTTTTAAATCATGATGGCTTTGGGCCATTTCCTGGACCAAACCAAAGAACCACTCACTGCAACTCACAGCAACCCTGTAGGACAGGTAGAACGGCACCTGAGATTGTAACTCTGTGGGAGTAGAAAGCCCCATCTTTGTCCTGAGGAGTGGCTAGTGGTTTCAAACTGCTGACCTTACAGCCCAATGTATAACCACACCAAGGCTCTGCAGTAAAGTGAGGCTAGATACGAAGCACATGCACTGGTTCTGACTCACCTACAGATTTCACTGAAACCCAGGGACTGGCTGTAATCGGTCGACAATTGAGTATTTACAATCTCAGAAGGACCAGTTCACATCTTGTCTGACTTCGTTTCCCAAAGGGGAAAGTGAGGCCTAGAAGCAGAGAATTCCTGGCAGCCTACCGGCTAACCTGGGCCTCTCCCATCACGCTCTCCTGCACCAAGAGGGTGCACTGGTGGGAGGAAAAGCCTGTCCTAGGACTGGAGCAGCAGCAAGCTTTCCTCCTGCACCCATAGAGGCAAGGGTGAATGTTTCTTCCCAACAAAATTTTGAAACACAGGAAAAATTTGAAACAATAACACTAGTGTACTGCCTATTCTGAATGATCATCACCATAATGCCATATATGCTTTATGTATGCATGCATTTCATTTTCTTAACATTGCAGACATAACCTTTAGCCTTAAATAATTCAGTATACTACCACACTATCAATATGACTCCTAATAATATCTAATGTTGAATGCATCTCTTAATACACAGCAGTCGCCCTGCCTCTTTTGTTTTTAAAATGCCGTTGACTTTCTGAAGCGATCAGCGAGGTGTTGCAGAACATCTCACAGCTGAGCTGTATCAGATTGTTCCACGATGCTGTCTCTTGTTCTACCTCCCTTCCTTCCTGTAAATCGGAAGCTGGCTCCAAGGGCTTGACTAGCTTTCTGGCAAGAATACTTCACAATTGAGGCTCTGCATCATCAGACTGGACCTCTGCTAGTGAAATCGCTTTAATTGCCTGCTTGAGGTGATGTGTTTAAAGCTCAAACATAAGGCACAAGGCAGCCCTTTTATTCTGGTTGCTCTTCACATAGCGCATGAATTTTTGCTGGCATATAAGCCAGCTGAGATGGAGTGAACAGACTTACATGTATTTCAACCTCGCGCTTTAAAAATAATACAAAGAGATTCGGTCTTAGCAGATACATGCATAAGAACCCTGCGGGATGTATTTGTGCGCCCAAGTGAGTCTCTGATGAGAACAATGTTAGAGGGTGTCAAAGTGAAGAGGTGTAACAGGTGAGGGGAAGAGCCTCCCTGGCCTCCACAACAGGGAGGGGTATGATGTGGCATCTCGGGCACTGATGTTCTCTACCATGGCTTTTGCTTAATCACTTCTCATTTACAGAACCAAGTATCGGAGGTTTTCAAACTGTTCCCGAAAAGGATTGGGTGTTACAGACGTCTTAGAGAAATTTAATTTCATTTTTTAACTAAAACTTTTAGCCAAGTAATACTTGAGCACAGAAACTCAAGGATGTTGAGGGAAGAGTCCCACCCTTTTTGGCCACCAGTTCCCCTCTGAAACCAATGTTAACTATTTCTTCTGCCGCCTTAGAGAGAACGATCTCTCTTAGACTAAAAAGAATCTCCTTGATGATGTGATACATACTCACTTTTAGGATAAGCCTACCCAGGTATACCCATCCCTCAGAGATGTGGAGGCTCAGCTAGACCGGCCACCTCCATCATCCCAGTGTCACAATCCAGTGAGCCACATGGAGCTTTGGTTTTTCTCAAGGCAAAGCAAGGTTGTGGTCACACCATCTCACACCAGTGTCGATTATGGTTCCCAATGACTCTGTGGTTAAGCTATGCTGTCGTCTGTAACATGTACAATAGCAGTACGCCTAAGAAAGAACAATGTACATACCTTCATTAAAAAATACTTTATTGCTAAAAAAAACGCTAACCGTCACTCGAGCCTTCAGTGAGTCGGGATCTTTTAGCTGCCTGAGGGTCTTGCCTTGATGATGATGGCCGTTGATTGCTCAGGGAGGTGGCTACTGAAGGGCTCAGGGGCTGTGGCAGTTTCTTCAAATAGGACCAAAATGAAGTCTGCCATGGCGATTGACTCTTCCTTTCTTGGAAGATTTCTCTGTAGCATGCAATGCTGTTTGACAGCATTTTACCCACAGTAGAACTTCGTTCAAAATTGGAGTCAATCCTCTCAAACCCTGCCGCTGCCTTATCAACCAAGTCTATGTAATACTCTAAATCCTTCGTTGTCATTCCACCCATGTTCACGGCAGCATCGCCAGGAGAAGGCTGTACCTCTAGAAGCCACTTGCTTTGCCCATCCAGGAGAAGCGACTCCTCATCAGTTAAAGTTTTATCGTGAGACTCCAGCAATTCAGTCACATCTTCAGGCTCCACTTTTAATTCTAGTTCTCTCGCTATTTCTCCCACATCGGCAGTTACTTCCTCCACAGACGGCTTGAGCCCCTCAAAGTTATCCATGAGGGTTGGAATCAACTTCTTCCAAACTCCTGTTAATGTTGATACTTGGACCTCCTCCCACGAATCACGAACGTTCTCAATGGCATCCAGAATGGTGAATTCTTTCCAGAAGGTTTTCAGCTTACTTTGCCCACATCCGTCAGAATGATCACTTTCTATGTCAGCAAGAGCCTTCCGAAATGTGTTTCTTAAATAGTACGACTTGAAAGTTGAAATAACGCCTTGATCCATGGGATGCAGAATGGATGTTGCCTTAGCAGGCATGAAGACAACGTTAATCTCATTGTATGCCTCCATCAGAGCTCTCGGGTGACCTGGCCCATTGTCAATGAGCAGTAATATTTTGAAGGGAATCTTTTTTTCTGAGCAGTAGGTCTCAATAGTGGGCTTAAAGTAGTCCATAAACCATGTTGTAAACAGAGAGGCTGTCATGCAGGCTTTGCTGTTCCATTGGTAGAGCACGGGCAGAGTAGATTTATCATAATTCTTTAGGGCCCTAGGATTTTCTGAATGGTAAATGAGCATTGGCTTCAACTTACAGTCACCAGCTGCATTGGCTCCTAGCAAGAGAGTCAGCCTGTCCTTAGAAGCTTTGAAGCCAGGCATTGACTTCTCCTTTCTGTCCATGAAGGTCTGATGTATCTTCTTCCAATATAAGGCTGTCTCGTCTACACTGAAAATCTGTTGTTTGGTGTAGCCACCATCACCAATGATCTTAGCTAGATATTCTGGATAACTTGCTGTGGCTTCGGCATCCATACTTGCTGTTTCTTCACCTTGTAGTTTTGTGTTATGGAAACGGCTTCTTTCCTTAAACCTCATGAACCAGCCCCTGCTAGCTTCAAACTTCTCTTCTGCCGCTTCCTTCCCTTTCTCTGCCTTCATCGAATTGAAGAGAGTCAGGGCCTTACTCTGGATTAGGCTCTGACTTAAGGGAATGTTGTGGCTAGTTTGGTCTTCTATCCAGACCAATAAAATTTTCTCCATATCGGCAATCAGCCTGTTTCGCTTTCTTATTATTCGTGTGTTCATTGGAGTGGCGCTTTTCATTTCCTTCAAGAACTTTTCCTTTGCATTCACAACTTGGCTAACAGTTTGGCGCAAGAGGCCTAGCTTTCGGCCTATCTCGGCTTTCGACATGCCTGCCTCGCTAAGCTTAATCATTTCCAGCTTTTGATTTAACGTGAGCGATGTGCGACTCTTCCTTTCACTCGAACACTTAGAGGCCATCGTAGAGTTCTTCCTTGGCGTCCACATTTAAAATGGTCTGTCTCGTAATAGGAAGGCCCGAAGAGAGGGCAAGGGGCAGTCACAACACACGTTTAAGTTCCCAGTCTCACAGGGGTGCCGTGCCTGGAGCCACAAAACGCCGAAAGATCACTGATTGCAGATCGCCATAACAGACTCAGTGAAAAACGTATAACTACTAAGAGCAAATACCACACTGACAGGCAGGCGAGCACATGCTTTTGGGGGGGAAAAAACGGTACCCGGAAACTCGAGGCTAGGCTGCTGAAATCTTGGGGTTTTAAAAATAATGTATCTGCCAAGGGGTGCAATAGAACGCGATTCTGCAGTCTAAGGAAGGGGTGACAGTCGCACCCAGTGGCAAATCACACGAAAGAAACTTGCAGTGCTCGGCGCTTGTGCAGGGTCTCGGATCCACACTAGGGAGTCTGACGGTTCGAGGTGGGAGGTCAACGGGGCTGTGGGGAAGACTGCGAAGCGCCGCCGACCCCGCGACGACGCGATGTCGGAAACTAGCGGGGTGTCTTCCCCCGCGGTCTCCCTCTCCGCCTCAGCCCCGCAGCTCCGAGCGCGCGAGGCGGCCCCGCCGAGCCGGAGCGCCCCAGTCCCGCCGCGGGGACCTGTAGGGCCCGGGGCGCAGGCGCCGCCTTATGACGTCAGGACGCGCGCGCTCTTCAGCTGGCGTGACTCCCGTCGTGCCTTGCGCGCGCGGAGCTGGAGCGCGGGCTTTTCGACTGGGCGCAGGCGCGCGGGCGCTGGGGGCCGAGAAGGCCCAGCGGGAGACCCAGAGCAGGACCTGCAGCCCGGGGCGTCTGGACCCCGTTCGCACGCGAGGCGCCGCCGAACGGATCCTGCGCGTACCACCCGGAGGGCGACGACAGACTTCCTGCTGCTTGCCTGCGTGTTGTCTGTCCCTCCATCTTCACGGAGAATGAGGAACACCTTCCCCCTCCTGCCCCCCACGCCCCGCGAGTCATCCCCTTCTTGGCCGTGTTACAAAAACGAGTGTTTGCAAAAGTTGGTGCCCCGGAAGGCCCAAGGTGGAGGTCATGGGTTGGGCGTGGCAGGTATAAAGCATCCCAGGAAACCCATAGGCGCTTCCTGGTGGGACCTCATCTAATTCGTCAAAAACGCAAGGGATTCTTGAGGGTACACTGTTAGAAAGCGCTTCCCTGGCCTGTCTCCATGGCCGTCAGATGGGCACATTTATCTTTTCTTTCTTTCTTTTTTTTGTTTTTGTGAGAGAGTGA